GGGTTTCACCATGTTGACCAGGATGGTCTCGCTCTCTTGACCTCGTGATCCACCTGCCTCGGCCTCCCAAAGTGCTGGGATTACAGGCTTGAGCCACTGCGCCCGGCCTGAATTCCTTTTAAGATACTCAACGGGACCAGGAGAGCTAAGCCAAGATCTTACCTGTGTTCTGGGTGATTTGGCGCTTGGTTATCATTTGTTTGCATTTCGGATCCATCAATTCACTGTTTTTATTTTGCTTCAAGCACTGCAACATGGTTTTAGAATCTGCTTCTGGACAGAACCTCTGCAAAAAAACAGTTTTATAAAAATAGCTATCCAAATATGGCAATTAACTCCATCCGCGACCACTTTTTTTTTTTTTTTTTTTTTTTTTTTGGGGAGACGGAGCCTTGCTCTGTCACCCAGGCTGGAGTGCAGTGGCATGATCTTGGCTCACTGAAACCTCCACCTCCTGGGTTCAGGTGATTCTCCTGCTTCAGCCTCCTGAGTAGCTGGGATTATAGGTGTGCGTCATCATGCCCAGCTAATTTTTCTATTTTTTTTTTTAAGTAGAGATGAGGTTTTACCATATTGGCCAGGCTGGTCTTGAACTATTGACTTCAGGTGATCTGCCTGCCTCTGCTACCCAAAGTGCTGGGATATAGGCGTGCGCCACCATTTCCTTGCCACTTTTTTTTTTTAAAGGCTGATCAAGTGAAGCAACATGGGTGTAGAAGGAACAAATAAATCTGTAACTGGCTGTGATCAATTAGTTGTAAACACCACTGCACTTGGACTAGCCTGTGATCACCCTTAACGTCTATCAGAAAGCTGATGAAAGCAGCAGCCTAAAGGCATCACATGGTACAAGAGCAGCAGCTAAGCCTGAACAAGCATCCCACCCCAACTTTCCCGTTCTTATTCTCTACTGTATTTGTCACATTTCTTTTTACTACCTCTCTGGTTCTTACTTTGGCACGGGACTGGTTTCCTATCTAGAAGGCGATGTTAAGTTAAATGGCATCTCAGGAACCTACTTATTGTTTGGGCGTGAAGGTAACACTGTACCAGGTGGCTGTGTAGCCCTCAAGCCCTATCTACCCAAGTCCTGTGGGAAAACCTAGGAATTCTCCACTAACCAATATGAATAAGGATGTGGAGTTAAGGACTCGCTGGTTCATCTTAAGTAAAGGGCTATAATCCTACCAAGCAGTAAAGAACTAGGGCCCTGTACACTTACTGCTGTCCTTTAAATCAGGGATTAGTTTTGGACTGTAATAAATTCCATCTCTGTTCTGCAAATCGACAAGTCTTCAAGTGTCAGATACACCCTAGTTGAGACACTTGAGCATTGAGCCTCTCTTTCCGGTTCTGTTTCTAGTTCTCTAAAGCATGTGATTATAATCTGCTGACATCTTGTTAACGGGGACAGGGATTGCTCACTGACTTTTAGAAAATGTTACAAAGCTCTCTCAGATCAGAGTCTGACATTTCCATATGACTCAATTTCAACAGGCCAGTTAAAAAGATTTACATTGTAATTTACAAATTCTCTCTGGAATTTATTTGATAGTGTAAAAAGTAGCATTTTAATTTAAAGGAAAGCTGAAATAAAGGAGCTAGAACCTTGAGTTTAAATTAAAAAAATTTTTTTCTTGAGACAGAATGTTGCTCTGTTGCTCAGGCTGGCGTGCAGCGGGGCGATCTCAGCTCACTGCAGCCGCAGCCTCAGCCTCCGCCTCCGGGGTTCGAACGATTCTCCTGTCTCAGCCTCCTGAGTAGCTGGGACTACAGGTGCGCACCACCACACCAGGCTAATTTTTGTATTTTCGGTGGAGACAGGGTTTCGCCATGTTGGCCAGGCTGCTGTCTAACTCCTGAGCTCAGGTGATTCTCCCGCCTTGGCCTCCCAAAGTGCTGAGATTATAGGCGTGACCTTGCCCATCTGAACCCTGAGCTGAATCTCCTTACGTGTGTGGCTAGATCAAGGAACTGACATCTAGGTACTTGGCTCAGCCCTGATGCCGAGAACATCTGGTGAAGGAGGGAATGAAGCAAAACAATCTGTAGAACAGAAAAATCTTCTGAGTGTGGCAGATGGATGATCAGAACATTAGATGGTCACTTTCTCAGTTTAGCTACCATGAGTTGTCCTCAAAACCAATCATTTACTTATTGCATGTCTATTTACTTGTGCCTCAGGTCAAAGCGAGGTCAGTTTTCTCAGCTCTGTGGTTTCCAAATTTGAGCCTGCATCAGAATCCCCTGGGGAGGCTATTAAGACAAGCTTTGTGCTCTACTCCCGGAGCTTCTAATTCAGCAGATCTGGAAAGGGCCCAGGAATCTGCAGGTTCCCAGGGGTGCTGCGGCCACTGCTACTCGTCTAGGAACCATGCTGAGAGAAAGCTGGGACTGAGGAAGTTGCTGTGGTTGTTTGTGCTTTGCTGTTTTGTTGTTCCCCCATGCCCGGCCTTTGGTGTCGGCCCCTCACCTTTATCATCTGCTTGCAGACCCTCATGAGGGTGTAGTCTAGCTCTGGGTCCATCATCTCTGTCTCCTGTAGCTTAAATACTTTCTGGTGGCAGCGGGTACTGAGTTGCTTCTTGTTTTCTTTCAGACATTCAATAATCTATGGCATAAGAGTTACAGTCAAGTTGAGCGATATTAGGGACTGATTATCCATGTGTTTGACTGGAGCATTTGGTTCCAGTGTGCCTCCCATTTCTCTATGCATTTCTAATTCCCAGGCAATAGGAATCTGGATTTTCTCACCAAGGAGAATTATGTTTAGAGATTTACAACTTTAGAGCTGACAGCAAACTCAGCTGCATAAAAACTCAGTATGACTGGCAGGGTGTGCTGGAGTCTAACGGGAAAGAAACACGCCCAGGGTATCTGGTTTCTTCCACCTTCCAGAGCTGCTTCTTGTCCAGGTTCCTTCTGGAGCACACAATAGGCTATCTGCATTTTGCTGGAGCCAACAGCCCCAGCTAGACAGCAGGCACAAGCCAGGAGGTTCAATTCAACCCACTATTTACCACCTGAGAAAGACTACTGGGTGCTAGTTATGAATCAGATCCAATTCTTAGCCTCATAAATTCAGAGCTCCACATGGCAAACTTATGTAAACAAGTATAATTTAAAAAAAGATGAGTTATCACTCAAAATACAAAAGCATAAATTGTTGTGAGATGAATTTTAAGATAGTGAATTAAGTATATCCTGAAATTTTCCCTTCTCTACACTAAACCTTTAGATATTATGAAAAGAAAGAAGGAAAGTAGATGGGAAGGTGCAGCAGCTGGGCTATAGCAGGAAGTCATCAGACATCTGGGAAATCCTCAAGACACGACCAGGAATCACTAAGTAGTTGAGGAACACTAATATCATAAGAAAGGTCATAAATAAAATGAAACAAGGACTCAAAAACTGAGGGAAAGGTGTGATAGAGCAATCAAAACAAGAATTTTAAAATACATTTAAAATCCTCAGAACAACACAGAAGTCAACAGTAAGTAAGAATCAAGAACAGGTGGTTATGAAAAGAAGCAATGAGAAATCTAGGAAATGGAAAACAAAACCTGATTGGTGGTGTCAGAATAGACAGAACTGAAGAATAAATTATAAGGTGGGAAAGAGAATCAAATAATTACCTAAAATGTAGTATCAAAGAAATGAAAAGTACCAAAGAAAAAGTTAAAGAGACATGGGGGGCCGGGCGTGGTGGCTCACACCTGTAATCCAAGCACTTTAGAGGCCAAGGCGGGCGGATCACCTGAGGTCAGGAGTTCAAGACCAGCCTGACCAA